TGCTGTGTCCATGGTGAAGGTGGAGTTGTCGACTGCTGCCATCGCGTGTCGTTTGTCACGCTCGTTGGCTAGTTTGAAGGCTACGGCTCTTCGCAGTGCCTTGCGCGTTGCTGCAACTGCGCTGGTCTCGTCATAGTTGTAGGTAACGGTGGGTATTCCTCTCCGATCAGCCCTCCATTGGGCGCGCTGTACACGTAGTATCGCGTGTCCTTTGCATCTGTGGGTTGGCTGTCCTTGTGCCCGGGGTGGGTAGTTGGTACCACCTCGTTGGTGGACACCTGAGTGCCAGGCCATGCTGAACGAGTCGTAAACTTGCAGGGTGCGCTTGCTGAGGAGTCCGTGTTTGCCGCTGTTTTTTGCTGATTAAGCTTGGGAGCGGAGCTTGTCTAAGGGGATTGCCTGCGTACTGCGGCTTAGTTCCTTACGTCCATCCCATCTGTTTCGGTAGTTGTCTTCCCTTCTTGTACCGTCCCAAAGTCGTGTAGTGGGCCAGCTCTTCGTCGTCTTCCTTGTTCTCCGCCCTTGTTATCCTCCTCACCTCTATCACCTCGCTCGCCTCGTTGGGGTCGTGCAGGTTACTAGTGGGTTCCAGCACTCCTCGACTAGTCCCAAGCGCTCTCCGTCGATCGGTAGAGGGTCGTTGCTGTCTCTTCCATCGTTGGCATGGTCGTCCAACATCTGGTATAGATCGATCTGCGAGGTAGCTAGTCCCCCCTCCAACGCTGGTCATCCCAGCTCCTTTGCCCAGTAGTTGGTAGGCCAGAGAGTCTTGGGGGTCAGATAATATCGCTTTTGTGAACTCCTCCCATTCCTCTGGTGGGAGCTGCATAGCCTGTGCATCTCGGCGAAGTTGCGCCGCTCGTAGGCCTCCCATATGGGCTCTGTTGTGTTCGCCCTTCTATCTTTCTCTGGGCTGTCTCGCACCAGCTTTAGCACGTGTGTGATCTCCTTGAGCGCTGTCTGGACGGTGTCGCCACTGGTCGGGTCACACTCGGGCTGTAGTTTGTATCCGAGTTCTCCCTTTTGTCGCAGTACAGTCGGGGCCCTGAAGAAGGAACCCTTTTCGTTGGGGAGGGGCTCCGCGTTCCTTAAGTGTTTCGCAGCTTGCCTCAGGTGTTCCTTATGTTTTCGATCGGACATCGAAGTTTAACTTATGGAAAAAGGGACCTCGTTCCTTATTTAGGGTTCCTTAGGTCAAGGCCCCGACTGTACTTCGTCGACTTCTCCTGTCTCCTCGCCAGCTCCCGAGGTCCTCTCTATAAGGCCGCCCGCGCTGCCCCCCCCCCCCCTCAAAAAAAAGGGCCCGCGTCCCCTCGGCTGCAATGTCGTGGACTGCACTCTCCCAGGCTGCTTGTCCTTGGCATCGCTCGGACGTGTGCGTTTTTCCTCGGCGAGGACCATCGAGGAGCATCCTTGACCATTCGGCGAAAAAAACACGCACGAAACCGAAAAAAACACACGGGGAATGGACGTCCGAGCGATGCCCAGTGTCCCACTGCTTCTACTTCCGGGGGTGGACAGGCCTCCTCCTACCCTGACGCGCCGATTAAGGAATTTGCCGTGTTCGGTTCGCGAGGGGGCGCCGCGGCCGTCCTTGTTGCGGGTCCAGGTCCGCCAACTTCGGTCCCATTCCGTTTTCGTTAAGGGGAGGTGTACTAGAGGGAGGTGTGTCCACCGCCGACACGTCCTCGTCCAGTCCCTGTAGTCGTGGCGCTCGTTTGTCGCCGCGCTTGCGGCACGCCACGAGGCCGTCCCTGCCCAGCCCCTGGCTGTCGGAGGGCGCGGGGAGAGGGCGGGAGCGAGCGGAGGAGTGGGCGTGGATGGTGATAGCGATCCTTGCTGTTGTGGAGGACGATCAGTGGAGAGGAAACATGTTGCCAACTAATTTCCAGATGTCTAAAGCATGCATTGCACATGTAAGAAACATGCTTAAAACAGGTTTCTAAGATTGCTTATAGTTTAAAAACACATGTTGAGTTCAATGATAGGACTGTCAGGTGTCCACTGTCGTGGCATCCCCAACCCTGCTGGTAGGTGGTCTCGGAAGCCTATGTCTGTGATTTGGTGTAATCTCTTTCCCGCAGTCTTCAGCACCATGCAACTTGATGCCACTTGTGTGTCCTGAACGTCCGTGAAAGGTGGACCCTACGTCCTTGCGGGGAGTGATGATGCTTATGTCACTCGTGCTGCACATTGTGCGAAAGCAGATGCCGTTGTTGGTCTCTATTCTAGGTCGTATGTCCCCCCACCGTTTGGCCGTTGGTGATCATCATTGTACCGTCAAGGTCCCTGTGACAGCCGAAGTAGCTGTTGAAGCCCCATCCCACAATCGGAGTTGTGCGACGTCCTGTCTTACCCAATTGGCCCTCAATCCACTCGCTGATCGCCGTCGCTACTTCTTCGTAGTACTTAGCGTGCATGAGCGCGTAGTACATACGTGAAATGTGTAGTCGTACTGTTTAGTTGCTAGGTGGATCCTCGCTGTACGGCCGTGCAGCTATGCAGGTGCGTGGTAGACTGCACGTCAAGCTCACTCGTCGATTATCATATGTCTCAGTATGCTGTTTCCGCATGATATGTTGACACATGTGTTTTTCTTGGCACCGAGCTGTAGTACCATGTGGTGGGGCAGGAAGTTCCTCTGTACCAGCTTTGGTCCTTCCCATATGCATGTGCCGCTGAGCAGTACTCAGTCCCAGGACCGTAGTTCGCAGCTGATGTCGTCCAATCGCTCCATACCGACGTCTGCCATGGGGTTGTAGTCGTAGATTCGCATTTTATCGTCGACGTTGGATCGGTCCCTTGGCCATGGTCCCCTGACCCCCCTGCCCCCGCAGCCTGTGGCGCTGGGCTCAAGATCGCTGGTGTGCAGTTGTACGTGAGGTAACCAGTTGGTCTGCTCCTGTGAACCTCGAACGGCGACTATGAGAAGGAGGAGTATTTCGACTGTTTCGCATCTCGCTCCCCGCGAGCTGCGCGGCGCTGGCCGCGCCGCGCTCTCCGCCGCCGATGGCGCGGCGGCCCTCATCTCGCGCCGCTCTTTCGTGGCGGCTCGCCCTCTGGAGGTCGCGGCCCTGGGGCCCACCTCCTCTCCACTCGCGTCATGCGGAGGCGAGTGGAGCAGTATGAGAAGGAGGAGGGGGAGGAGGGGGAGGAGGGGGAGGAGGAGGGGGAGGAGGGGGAGGAGGAGGAGGAGGGAGGAGGAGGAGGGAGGAGGAGGAGGAGGAGGAGGAGGAGGAGGAGGAGGAGGCGGTGGCCTGTTGGCCACAGGACCTCCTGGCATACTAGTTCGATCAGCACCCCCCAGGGGCCGACCAGCCCCAGGCGGGAGGGGCATGGCCAGCCCCAGGGTGACCCCATGGCCGAGAGAGAGAGAGAGAGAGGGGGGGAGGCGGCGGCGGCGGCGACCACTGCCCGGTGTCGGGTCACCACTGCCCGCAGGCCCGGCAGCCCCTCGGCCACCAGGAGGACCTCACGGCCGAGAGAGAGAGACAGAGAGCGAGAGAGAGAGAAGAGAAGAGGCGGCGGCGGCGGCGACCACCGCCCAACGTTGGGACGCCGCTGCCCGCAGGCCCGGCAGCCCCCCGGCTGGCGCCGGGCCGCGGAGCCCGGAGGGCGCGCGGGGCGGGCGCGCCCGCGCCCGCGGCGCGCTGCCCTGGGAGGCCCCGCCGCCCGCTCGGCGGCGCGCGGGCGGCGCTGCGGAGGAGGGCTCGGCGGCAGTCGGCGGTCCTCGGAGGGCGCTTCGCAGAAGAGAAGACGTCACGAACCTCATTTTCCGAAGAAGAGAAGAAGAGAAACCGCTCTTCGAATAAGGGAAACGTCATAAAAGAAAGTCGCTGCTCGAGGAATTCTTCGTCGAGAAAAGTCACTTTTCGAAGCAGAGAAGACGTCATGAACACCATTGTGTTGGCGCTCCGCGCGGCGCCGCCCCCTGGCGCGCGGAGCGCGCGCCAGGGCGGGGGGTCCAGAGTACACCTTAGGCGATGCTTAAGAAAACCTAAGTTTTCGGCCAGAGTCTCGATTATTCTGAACGTTTCAATGTGAATCCCAAGATTTTGATAGAAGTTCTGGTTTTTATTCAATGTCTGAGACTATGAATTTCTTAACCCATGATTTCTTAAGCATTTCGCAGGGAGCAGATCCGAGAAAGTCCGCGCGGAGCGCCAAAAGTTTAGGTTGATGGTTTCTCGTGCTTCGTCTAGCTTTGGCGGCCTTGGTCAGAGCGTGAATTACCTACCCCGCTTTCGCTTCCAGGCAAAACCAAGTCATACCATACGCCTCCTCGTCAAGCGGCCTGACCAGTACATGTCGTAGTTTGGCATCGCTTGGTATCTCTTGGAAGCGAGGGTGGTCAAAAGCGAGGTAGGTTTGTTTGCCCCCTACTTGGTGAGTTCCAGGAGGGAAGAGGGACGGACACAACGAATCGTCGATCCCCAGAGAGCCCTCCAAGACGGCCGAAGAGACTCCCAAGAGAGCTCCAAGAGCGGGCTCGGACGAGGCACCCGAACGGACATTTCAGCTCTCGGCCCCGAGAGGCCCCCAGAGTGCCCAAAGAAGCCTCCAAGAGGCTCGCAGGATGCCCCAAGAAGCCCTCAAGAGGCCGCAGGAGGTCCCAAAAATACCACCAAGAGGCCCCCGAGAGGCGTCCCAAGAGACCCCAAGTAGCTTCGCAAACAAGTGTCTTGTCCACGATAAAGTTTGGCCCCAAAATGCCCCAAGAAGCGATTGAGAGGCCTCCTCATCATCCTCATCCTCCCCTCCCCCGACGGCAAGTTTTGATCTGCGGCTCAAGCGAGCTGCGGCATGGATTGATCTGTTTTTTTATCACAGTATTCGTTGTCGTGCTGTCTGGCATTCCAGGATGGACGATGGACGAAGCCAGTGGTATTCTCTCTGCTACTACTGGACGTGCGCTGCGACTTCTCGCTGGGTACACTGGACTATAGTTATCAGGCTTTTATGTTGCTGCTCATGCCAATCGGCGCGGGCAATCTTCGCCCATGCGCAGGCGGGTTCAGCAGCTTGGCATTGCGTACAAGTTCGTGCGTCAGCCTACGGATCAATGGGAGGAGGCGTTGCTTCCACCTTCGAGTGCGAGCTTGCTGCTGCATATCCGGATCGGCTACGTCTTCCTTGCGTTCAGTCTCCCAGCGATTCTAGGCGCCCTCCTCTGCCCTTCTCTGCGACGCGAGGCCCCAGGTGGTAAGGCGCTCAACAGAGACGCTGCCCCTTCCGTCATGCCGCAGGTGGAGCTGTCGTCGGCTGTGCCTCTCGTCCTCGAGCAGGCAGAGGGCCGGTATGACTCACGGCTGATGGCATAGCTGGGCCTGGTGGAGCCGTAAAATGGCTCCATTTCCAACCTCAAAGGCATCATTGGTTCTTATGCGACATACGACCGTATGAATGCGGCTTCAGGAGCAGATTCAAGCAAGCTTCCGGCAGGCATCTCGAGAGAGAAAGAGAGAGGTCATTTGGATCGGGGGGTGCTTCGGCGCGCTCACCGTCTTCCTCGTCCTGTCCCTCGCCCAGGCCCGTGGGTGACCCAACGCACCCCGATGTTGTCGCCACAGCGGCCAATCTCGATGCCGTTCCAAGCCTGATCGACAGCAAGATCAGCTATGCTATGAACGAGCCATCAGTGTCCAAGTCGCTGGCCGGCTCAATTGATGATGTTGTTCCCAATCTATTGGGGTCCATTCTGCAGGGGGCCAATGGGGCCTCGGTGGCGCCCATGATGGACCAGATGTTAGATTCGGTAGCCAGGCGAGCTTCAGCGCCTTCGGCCCGAACTGCATCGCTAGCTGGCTCGCCCCAGGGTGGTGGCGACGGGGCGGAGGTGGAGAGAGTCGAGCAGATGGTGAGATGCATGATGGAGACGCAACTGGAGGAGTCCAGGAGGCAGCTTCACGAGTTCTCCCTGCGCGTGCGGGCTGAGCTGTCCGAGGCACTCCCAGCTGGCGCATCTGCAACCGTCCGTGGGCGATCTCCTGGGCCGCCGCTGCGCCGGCACGGTCGGCAGTGCGAGAGGAGCGATCGCATCGTTCGCCGTCATGGCCGCAGCGGAGACACGCCTGCGGACAGGGCACCTGCTGCTTCCTCGCCCGGGCCGGCGGCACAGCCGACCTCGCCAGGCCTCCTGGTGCGGATCGCTCCGCCTGCGAGCCCGATCAACTACGGCATACTCGAGGACATCATCGATGCTGACGAGGCAGAGGAGGTACACGACTACATTATGACCCAGCTCTTCCGTGGACAAGCAATCCATTGAGGATGAACCTCCCGAACCTGATATCGATTGAGATGTGTGCACGAGCTCCCGAGGCTGGCGTGGCGATTTCTCTCCGTCGTCTTCCTCTTCCTTGTCCTCCTGTCCGCCTTCCTTGTCCTCGTCCTGCCGTTCATGCTCTCTGCGCATGTGTGTCTGGGGGAATTAGTTTGTTAGATATTCTTCAGGGGGGTTCCAGCTTCGGCTTCCGCCCGCTTGCGGGCAGCGGATTCGTTCAAGTCTTATTGTGGAATCGGTACTCGCCTCCCGGCCACGCTCCACCTCTTCCTCCTCCTTCTTATCCTCCTTATCCTCCTCCTCCTCCTTTTCCTCCTCTTTCTCCTCCTCCTCCTCTTTCTCCTCCTCCTCCTCCTCCTTTTCCTCCTCCTCCTCCTCCTCCTCCTCCTCCTTCTCTCACTTCTCGCTCTCCACGAGCATCCCGGACGATGCTGGCCCACAACACACGCGGCTCCAGGCGCTTATCACTGCGCCCAAGATAAGTGCCAGATGCCCAAGATGGCTTCCAAGACGGACCTGGGAGGCCACCAAAGCTGCCAAGATGACCGAAAATGCTTCGAAGAGGCCCCAAAAGCGCTCCAAAAGGTTCCCAAAGAGGGTTCACAGAGACAGAATTCAGTGATTTAAATTGTGTTCTTCGTTGCTTTTTCGCGCTATCGCCTGATCGAGCATCCGAAGCTCCAAGACGGCCCCAGGGGTCCCCAAGACCGCCCCAAGGCGGCCCAAGAAGCCCCCAAGAAAGTCCCAAGACATCTCGAGACGGCCGCGAAACGGCCCAAGAGGCGCCCAAGACAGCCCCGGAAATCCCCAAACCGGCCTCAAGACGGGCCCAAGAGGGGGAAGACGAACGGACGATTCGAGCCTTGCGCCCGAAGAGGCCCCCAGGAAACCCCAAAAGGCTTCAAGGCGCACAATATGGGCTGGCTAAATGAGCGAAACGATTTCATTAATTGTCGACCCCCGGGAAAATATGGGAAAAGATGGGCAGTGGTAGGGAAGACGAGCACCCAGAAAATATGGACAAACACTTGGTTCGGGGCTCAACAGACGGGGGTCGATGCAGCAAACGGGAGTTAGTCAGAGCGCCGGATCTTGCAGATTCCTGCAGAGCCAGGGGCGCATTGACCTTGGCCTGGGTGGAGGATCATGCAGGATCTTGCATCTTGCAGGACCCTACAAGGCCCGATGGACCCAGGTTTGGATTGACCCGGGTCAGTAGATCCCCGACTGGGAAGTTCGAGGCCTCCCAGATGAGCGACGCAAAAAGAACGGGCTGGACTGCGCCGGCGCGAAAGCTGCTTGTTTAGGGTCGCGCGTGAGCGCCTTCGGCTCCGACGTGGCATGCCGTGCTGGCGATCCGCGTCAGCTGCGACGTAAGGTCGTTGTGTCATCTCGCGCAAAGCCCGCTTCTGATCGTCGCTCAGATGGGTTCCCCCGACAGGCTCCCTTCGGGAGAACATCGCGGCGGGAAGTTTTTTTTAACGTTTGCGGCCTCCTGGGGCCCTCACTGGGCCCCGGGGCCGTCAACAAAACGACTCGGGATGAAAAACCAGCCCCGGAGAAGGGCGTTGGGAATTCTTGGGTCTATGTGCTTAAACTCCCAGATGGGGTCCGAGTAGATGGGGTCGAAGGATCACGCCGCATCGCCCATGCGTCGGCGATGCGGCCCGATGTGGAGCCCGATTCTCTCCACGTCGACGTCGCCGATGCACCGCCGGCGTCGCCGATGCATCGACGATGCGGCGCGATCTTCCGACCCCATCTACTCGGACCCATTTTGAAAGCTTCTATTGTATTCGGAGGGCTTAGCGATCAGCTTGCAGGTGCTTGCGATCTGCTCGGCGGACGTCGGAACCGCCGTACCGTTGCTGATTTGTCGATTTGAAAGTGTGTCGGAGATGCACCTCAATCGATGCGAAAAGTAGGGCGGAAGTTCCAGTATGGCGGACATTTTCGCAAACCAGTATGGCGGAACAAGCGACGGCAAAGCAGGGCGGAAATCGACATCACAGGAGGTTGAAAAGTGTAGCAGAAATTGCCGCCCGACTTGCGAAGTCGCCCAAAAGTACGGCGGATCCGAAGTCTGGGGCGGGCATTTTCGCCCAATGTCGGGCCCCGGGGCCCTCATATCTCCATACGTCCCGGAAAGTGTTGTACAGTGGGGGCCCATTCCAAGAAACACCCTGCTTGACTCCAGGGTGCCCTGGGCTTCTTGGGTTTCGATGGTGTTGCGATGGAGAGAGTGACGTTCTCACACCAAAAATCAGCCACGCGCAGAGGGGGGTGGGGGGAGGGGGGGGGGCTTCTTAGAAGCACCACTGCTTCTTAGAAGGCGCGGGCCTTACCTATAGATGTAAGGGCGGCGCCTTCTAAGGAGCAGCCTCCTTCTGAGAAGCCCCCCCCCCTCCCTCCACCCCCCTGTGCGCGCAGCCAAACAAAAACCATGGACGCCCTGGGGTCTCAAGGTTGGGCTTCTTGTGGCAGGTCTTCTGTGGACGGGCCTCCACTGCAGAAAGGTGGGGTCTGGGGCTCTCGTCGTGCTGCTTCGCGATGCTGCTGCGCGTGTTTGCTGGCAGCCTCGCATCGCGGGGTCTGCGGCGAGCTGCTCCGCGGCCTGCGGTGGTCGCCGGCGGGCCCCGGCGGTCTGCAAGGTTCGCTGGGTAGGGGGCCACCTGCGAACCCTAGCCCTACCCCCCACGATTTCTGAGGGGAAGGGTGGGGTTCACCTCGTTCGGGAGCTCCCGAACGAAGTGACCCCCACCCTCCCCCCTAAGAGATCGTGGGGGGTAGGGGGTGGGGTTCGCATGTGGCCCCCTACTGGGGGCCAGGGGCTCGAGGCTCGAGGTTCAAGATCCTCAAGAGTCTCAAGGTCGAGGCTCGAGGTTCGAGGCTCGAGGTCCTCAAGGTGCAGGCTCCGGCGGTCTTCGAGCCTCGAGGCTCGAGGCTCTCGGGCGTCTTCGCCCGCTCTCGGCAGCTCTTCCAGCCTCGGGGTGCCTTCTGTTCGCGGCCGCGCCGCGCCTAAGAGCGTCGTGGGGGTGGAGGGGGAGGGGGAGGGGGAGGGGGAGGGGGAGGAGGAGGAGGAGGAGGAGGGGGAGGAGGAGGAGGAGGAGGAGGAGGGGGAGGAGGAGGAGGAGGAGGAGGAGGAGGAGGAGGGAGGAGGAGGAGGAGAGGAGCAGGAGGACGAGGAGGAGGAGGAGGACGGGGGAGAGCACGAGGCCGAGGCTCGAGGATCGGGGGGGGGGCCCAGGCGGGCCCGAGGAGGCTCGAGGCCCGAGGCCCCCGCTGGGTGCCCCCGCTGGGTGTCCCCGCTGGGCCCCGGGACCGGCCAACAATTTGTAATTGCTGGGTGCAGGGCAAGCTCAGAGGATGGGGTCGAGAGCTCCGTCTGTTGCGCTTCAGGAATCAAACCCTTCATGGCGCGGCAAATAGCAAATAGCGAGAGCTCCGGGAGTGGACGTGATGAGAAAATCGTGGCGGGGTCTGGGCTCGGAGGTACTCGCAGAGGTCACCAGATCCTCGTCGGTCTTCGCACGCGCTCGGAGGGCTCAGCGGGCCCTAGAACAGGCAGAGCCGCATTTGTTGTACCCCGTGTCCGAGCATTTGGTTTTTTTGAGTACGAACACGCCAAAAAAAACATAAGATCAGGGCGTTGCTTTTTTGTTCACGCTGGGCGTTTTCGCCCGTCTTCGGGCCCCAGGACCTCTCAAAGATCGATGCGTCCCAGAAATGCAGTACAAAGGGCCCCAGGCGTGATTTCTCGTGATCTGCAATGGCGGTCTGCGCGGCGGTCTTCGGAGATCTCTGGCGGTCTTCGGAGGCACTCGGAGCTTAGCTGCCTCGATGCGCCCGTTTTGAGACGCAACACGTCCCGTGTCCAAGACGTCCGTGGCAACACGTTGCCTGTTGGCTCCACGTATTGGGCCACGTTTTGGCGAATGTTGCGGGCAATAGCTATATCCACATCCAGTGCGTCTTGGAGCTTTGGGCTTTCTTCCCCAGAAACCGGAGGCGCACTGGATCTGGATAAAAATCTTGCCCCAGAAGGTTTGATCTTTACCCACATCCGGTGCGCCTCGGCCTTGCGGCACCCATTCTCAAAACGTCCACGACGCTCTGGATATGGATGTAAGTATTGCCCGCAAATGCATCGCGTCGGACCTGCGCTTTCAGCCTGCGTGTTGCGCTCCGTGCCAGTACGCTACGCGTTGCGTGCTGCGTGTGGCGTATCCGGGCAGCTACGATATTCGGAGGTGTCCCCGGCTCTCCGACGATCTGTCCGACGAGGCCGCTCTTCCTCGGCGCGGGGCCCCCAGCCCAACGGTTCTGTCGGGCGTGTCCCCCTTACAAGGGGAGGCTCCGACGAAAAAAAAAAAATGCCCCCAAAATAACCCCCAAAAGGTAAACAAAATACTCAAGAAATAGTCCCCAGACTATTTTTTTGATTATTTGTTGACTATTTTCGGGGTATGTCTTATTTTTCGTCGAGAATCCCCCTGTAGGGGGACAGGCCCGACTTGACCCAAATGGATCCAGGACGAAGAAATGTCCCGGCAGAAGCGGCCGGGGCCTCTGGGGCCGCGAGCTGGAAAAGTCGCATGGGCGGATGCACAGGCATTCGGAGAGGTCGGAGGTCTTGGAAGGTGTAGGGAAGGTTTTTCTTGGAAGGTATTCGGAAGGTTTTCGAATGTGTTGGACGGTCTCGCTAAATTTTGGGAGGTTAGTTGGAAGGTTGTTGCACGGTTGTTGCAAGGTTTTTGGAAGGCCTTCCCGCCGACCCGACCGGTTAGGGTTCTCTCGTGTCCATTCGCACGTTCATCATATTTTGATGTCCCGCCCGCCCGACTTTTCCGGATTCCCGAGAAAGTGTTGCGACCGCAGCCTGCGCTTGCGGCCGCCTGGCCTGATCCCGGGGTCGCCTTTCGCAGGTGACTTTTCTCCCCCAATCCCCGAGCTTCGCCGGAAAAGTATGACCTCTCAGAAAAAGAGGGAAACCCTGGGATACACCCCAAGGAGGCTATTCGGACGCACCACTATCGAGGATGAACGCCCCCCAATCGTATATCCCAGGGTTGGGGCTCAAATTTCTGCTTCATGCGAAAACCCCACGATGTCTGGGATAGGGGTCGACATATGCCCTGTTAGCCTTCACTGGAGGCTGTTCTGCTAAAGGGGATGTTGTCCAATCCCCGAGAGGCTCTCGGGAGGCGGCGCCGGCGCCGCGGCGGCGCCGTCGTCGGCGCCGCTGTCGGCACCGTCGTGGTCGTGGTCGTCATGGTCGTCGTTGGTTGTCGGCGTCGTCGTGGTCGTGGTCTTGGTCGTCGTGGTCCTCGTGGTCGTGGTTAATTGGTGGCATCACAGGAATACGAATAATATGGAAAAACGAGTCTTGCATCGCCAAGCACCTACGAGTTATGATGAAGGGTGCTGCCACTTCCCACGATAGTCCTCGCACTCGCTCGCTTCGGAATTCAGAGGTGCTGTACAAGTGGTGGGTTCTCCCTGCTCGTGTTGAGCTGGCGGTGCGCAGAATCAAATGGCTGCAGAGTATATTGCTACATCGCCATGCTCTCTGCCAGACTATTGCGGCGAGTTTCGGCCACCTCAGGGACGAGGCCCCTCCCTTACAGGATAGTGGACGGCCCAGCGACACAGCCAACCCGTGTGCTAAGACATTTGTGACCAGAACCTCCAGCTACATCGAGGGATCAGCGGCACCGATAATTTTTCTGAAGTCTGGGAGGATTGTGGTTTCTCGCGGAAAGAGCTATTCGACCCCGCCTCCGAGGCCTCCCATGAGTTCCTGAAGGCTGACCCCTCGATCTGAAGGGCCGCAGCTTTTGCTGAGTACGACAGCTCACTAGTTCCTGAACCACACTGCCCCGAGGCCGTAAGCGAACACATCTTCGCATGCATGAGAGAAGACCGCCAGGGCACCCAGTACGGCCTTCAGTTCGACCCATGTCGGGCTCTCGTAGGACACCAAACGGATAACTATCGAGTTAATTATACTCTACAGAGCGGCGGTGTCACTAATCAATGCCCGAACTTTTTGCTCACGTAAGCACCTAAAGAACTACTATGAGCACGGCAGGTATCTCATGGGACGCTCACGTCTGTCTCGGCACCCCGAGAAGTTCGACGAATGGAAATGCACATTATGCCACGGAGACTCCGTACTGCTTGACTCAAGTCTGCTTCCGCTTCGGATTCCGCGTGAATCTCATTTTGCGAAACCTCTCCCTCGGTTTATCCTGCCGGCTATTCTGGGTAAGTCGCTGGCACCGCGGAGGAGACCTCGGCCGCTTTCAACACGACGCTGAACGATCCCACGTGGAAGCTGCGATGCCTCTTGATATGGCAGCTGCTGGAGGTAAGCCAGCAGACCAGCGTCCTCTCAGGCGTCGTGCTCGGCACGTTTGTTCGCCCCCTGCCACGTGTGCCCTAGTCACCGTGATGAGCGAACAGACCGTCGCCCACGCCACCGCAGTCGAGCAGCAGGGGAAAGATCACGAGCTGGGCCCGCCGTGCATCTGGGCCTTGGGAGGTCTCCCGGATGCCCTGGTCAGCCTCGGAGACACGGTCGGAGCCCAGAACGCCCAGTACTACAAGAGTTCTCAACGAGTATAGCGAGCACTCAGTCGCGTAGAAGTGCGAGCTCGTGCTGCTTTGCCGCCAGGACAAAATAAACCAGGGAGAGCAGCGTCGCTTGACAATCTCCTTTCGCGACCCCGCTGCTCGGAGCATCGTGATTGCGGCGACCACCCAAACCCCGAATGTCAAGCAGCAGTTCGGTCGCGCCCAAGCAGCATTCACGGAGAGGGAGATCCAGGAAGTCTCCGAGACCCTTCTGAAACGATGATGATGATTATGATGTTGATGATGATGATGAGGATGAGGATGAGGATGAGGATGATGATGAGGATGAGGATGAGGATGAGGATGAGAATGAGGATGAGGATGAGGATGATGATGAGGATGAGGATGATGATGATGATGATGATGATGATGATGATGATGATGATGATGATGATGATGATGACGATGATCTGCAGGTTCTCGAAGATACCCCTCCATTGACCCACGCCGAGCGCACCAGACATGTTCAAGGACATGAAGAGCGCGGGGCAGAGCAGGAGTGCGGGGAGTACTGATGGCCTTCCACCTCCCCCCCTAACCCTCCTCCCCCAACCCCTCGTTCTTGCTTGCCGGAGGCTGCCCCGTGCCCACACGTGCGTGGGTGTGTGCAGCAGCAGGCGGGTCTCGGGATTGCGCAAGAGCGGGCTGCACCTTGGCTTCCTCGCCTCCTCGTGGCTACCTCGTGTGTCGGTGGCTACCTGGGCCAGGCTTGCCCTGCTCGGGACCTTAGCTACGGCCCTGGTGTGTATAGAACATGGCATATGCACCTTCCTCTTAAAGCCTATGCGCCTTCCTCCTAAAGCCAGAGGCACACGGCTCCCATTGCCATTCTCAGCTGTGCGATATCCAGGGCTTACGATTGCGCACTGTTGTAACAACTTGCGTGGTGAAGCGTTCACTATGACAAGAGCGATGTTTGCGCTGAAGGTGATCGAATCACATCCTCCTCTTCAATGTTTTGGGGAGCTGAGGCTGGGCGTCAGCCCAGGTCCACATAAGATCCCTCCTCCTCCTCCTCCTCCTCCTCCTCCTCCTCCTCCTCCTCCTCCTCCTCTGTCTTTTCCTCCTCCTCCTCCTCCTCTGTCTTTTCCTCCTCCTCCTTCATCCACTCGCTCGCTGCTCCCTCTGCCCGCCCCCGCCTCCCCCGAGACCCGGCCGCTCCAGCGCGGCCCCGCGCCGCCCGCCGACCTGGGCGCGACCCCGCCGCCGCGGCGGCGGGCCGACCAGAAGCTCGCGGGGCGTGGGCGGGGGCGCATCGACCCCCAATCGCCCAGTCGTCGCCGGCAGGTTCGAGGTTTGAACTTTGTTCCCAATTCATCCTGTGGTGTTGGGTCCTCGTTTGAAGAGACCGCGGCCCGCGTTCTCCTTCCTCCTTCCTTCCTCCTCCCCTCCTTCCTCCTCCCATCATCATCATCATCATCATCATCATCATCATCATCATCATCATCATCATCATCATCATCATCATCATCATCATCATCATCATCATCATCATCATCATCATCCGTAGCCATTTGGGCTCAAGCTGTTTCTCCGGACTTTCGCAGGCGCCCACGCGCAGCGGTCAGCGGCGCGCGACTGGGAGATGAGCAATGGCGACGGGGGGCTGCCCGCAGGCGCGATGGCGGGGCGGCCCACCAGGCGTGGCAGTGCGCTGCGCAGGAAGGAGGAGGCCGAGGTAGGCGCCTCGGCGGCCCGCCGACGGGCGCGGGCGCGGCGCCTCCTCGCCGCCACGGCGGCAGTCGGCAAGGCGGCCAGCGGCGGCCCAGGTTCCTGGCAGGACCGGGAGGCTGCTGCGCGCCCCGCCTTGCGCCGAGCCGCCGCGGGACGCCGCGTCCCAGGCGCAATGCGGCGGCGGCGGAACGCCGCGTGGCACGCGCTGCTGGTCCCTGCGGGCGGATTCGCGCGCGCGTCCGTAGCGGGCCTTTCGCGGGCCGCCGCAGGCCCCCGCCTGGGCTGGCTGCCCTCGCTCCCGGAGGCGGCCGCGCTGCCCTTCGGCGACTACGGTGAGGTACCCGACGAGCACTGCCAGGCTCCCGGTGCCATGGACTGCCCAGTGCTGGGCGGCGCTGCCGCCACTGATGGATGGCGGCGCCCCCCCCATCGTGAGCTTCGCGAACCAGGTCGTCGCCGTGGCAGTGGACGGCAGCGTCCAGACGGAGCTCCTGGGGGGCGAGGATCACCTCGATCGCCTGCGGCGGGTCTTGCGCCAGCGGCTCGAGGCGGCACAGCGGCCCGCGCTCAAGCCTGCCGCTGCCCTGTTTGCCCCGCTGCCCGAGGTGCTCCAGGTACGGATCGTTGGCATGCTATCCCTGCCCGACAGGCTGCGGTTGTGCCAGGCCTCAACTGGGGTCGCCTGGACCTTCGAGAGCAGCCCCTGTCGGCTCGCGGAGGCGCTGGAATCGGATCTGCGGGACGCGGCGCTCCTGCAGCAGCTGGAGGGCGCAAGGCTGCACAGGGACGCGAACGCCGACGTGGACCTGGGCCGCGGTTTCGGCTCCGACTACCAGCTGGACATGCTGAGGGGGGAGTTGCACCATCCCGCGTCGAACCGCACCCAGTACAGGGCTCTGGTCGCGAAGCAGGCCCAGGACATCCGCTCCCTACGGGAAGGCTGGGCTGCTGCGGAGCATGCGCTGCGGGACCAGCTCGCCACGCTCAGGGAGCAGCTGCAGGCGTACATCGCGATGAGCTCGGATGCGCCAGCGGCCGCGGGCGAGCACAACGACGACGCATCCGATGGCTCGCTCTCGTCCCTCGTGGTGGAGGATCGAGGTGATGATTGCGAGTTCTCCGACGGGTTCGATACTTCCGATGTCCTCCTCGATGGGACTGTGGGCCTCAGGGCCTTGCCTCCCCTGCCTGCTCTCACCGACTGCCCGATCGGTTTCAGGGCTCTCACTTGGCTGTGGGACGGCAGGGATCCCACCGACATGAGGCGCATCGCCGACGAGCTGAAGTGGGCGGCTGCGACCCCCGTGCCCGATGAGCTCGAGGGCGACACGGTGGATGTGGTTCCCGAGGGCGCCGCGGCGCCAGGAGTCCACGTGGACGATATCGAGTTGGACGACCTGCAGGCGATCATCCAGCAGCACTGCGCAGCGGGGGGGAGGCTCAGAGTCCCCCGAGGCGCTGGCCCAGCTGCTGCGGGCGACACCACTGCCCCTGCAGGAACTAACGGCGACGGGTTCGGCGACGTCGGCGGCCGATCCGTTCCCTACAGCGGCGATGGCATCGACACAGGCTTCTTGTCTGCAGGCGAGCTTCTGGAGGCGGCGGCCGCCTCGCGGTTGGCCCTCGCAGCGGCCAGCTTCCTCCTCGGGGTCCCACTCGAGGCGCCCCAGGCCTTAGACGCTCAGATGCCCGATGAGGCAATTTGCTTGCCAGTTGTTGCCGCTCTTTATCAATAATTTGGCGCTCGACACGGCCGCGTCGGTCGGCGGCGCTTCGCTCTCGTGCCGAGGGGGGCCCGTCGCGAAGGCTTCGCACTCGCTGGGTTCTCTCTCTGCTGGCGCCCTCGGTTGGCCGTGCACTCAACTCTGAGCGCTGGGGTGCATGGCGCACTGATGGAGCGACCAAGGTAGCTGGGCGCACGTGCGCCCGCCCGCTGGGGGGCCTTGGTGCCTTCACGGGATCTGCTCGTGTCGCAGGCGGGTCCAAGGATCACGAATGCCTGCGCCGAGCTGCTGCCTCTGGGGGGGGAGGGACCCCGTGGCGTAGGCTGTACCCCGTGGGGCTCGGCACACGCCAGGGTTCACTCCCTCCCACCCCTCTTGGGCAGCGTCTTACGCTCGGCGCCGTCCGCCGGCTCGCTGCAGAGCAGCCGCAGCGACGCGTCGGCGGGCCCTGGCGTTCTTGCACGGCCGTCTGATGGTCAGCCGCTCCGAGCGCCTTCGGCGCCTCCGTTTAATGTAGCCGCTGGCGCGCCTTGGGCGCGGCAGCCCGCTCTGTGCTCTGTGCCGCGCCAGGCGGAGGCCGAACCGCGGTGGTAGGCTGTGGCCGACCGTCAGGATCGCCTCCGAAAGCCACCTCAGAGCAAGTCGCCCCCGTCTGAGGCCTGGTGCCTAGGGGACTGTTGCGCCGAGCTGTCTGCGAGCTGAGTCGCCGCGAGGGCTCGGATGCTTTGCTGACCGCCTGCCTTTGGCTGGGGCGGTCGGCGGCCTCAAGGCTTTCAGGCGATCTGCGAGTGTGCCTTGGGCACGGGCCAGGCCTTGCGTCCGCAGCGCCAGAGGGAAAGGCCATGGCTTCGGGAGGCTGTATCGAGCGGGGAGCTCCAGACCTTCTTGGATGCGTGGATCATCATCATCATCATCATCATCATCATCATTATCATCACCCTCATCATCATCATCATCATCATCACCCTCATCACCCTCATCATCATCATCATCATCAGCATCAGCATCATCATCATCAGCATCATTATCACCATCACCATCACCATCATCGTCATCGTCATCGTCATCATCATCACCATCATCGTCATCATAGCCGTCATCATCACCATCACCGCCATCAGCTTCGGCATGCCCCTCACACGGTTCATGGTTTCATAGGGAGCTCCACCGAAGGCCCCAGTGGCAAAGTTCGCATGCGGTTCCACCCCCTTTTCAGCACACCCCTCACACGGTTCGTGGCCCCATAGGGAGCTCCACCGAAGGCCCCAGCGGCAAAGTTCGCATGCAGTTCCACCCCATTTAGGCGCACCCTTCACACGGTCCGTGGCACCATAGGGAGCTCCACCGAAGGCCCCAATGACAAAGTTCGCATGCAGTTACACCCCCATTTCGGCGCACCCCTTACACGGTTCGTGGTCCAATAAGGAGCTCCACCGAAGGCCCCAGTGGCAAAGTTCTCATGCGGTTCCATTGACACAAACTTTACACGCTTCGTGGCCCCATAGGGAGTTCCACCGAAGGACCCAGTTGCAAAGTTCGCATGCGGTTCCACCCCCATTGTGGCACACTCCTTGAACGGTTCGTGGCCCCATAGGGAGCTCCACCGAAGGCCCCAGTGGCAAAGTTCGCACGCTGCTCCACCCCCATTTCGGCGCACCATTCACACGGTTCGTGGCCCAATAGGGAGCTCCACCGAAGGCCCCAGTGGCAAAGTTCGCATACGGTTCCACTCCCATTCTGGCACACCCTTCACACGGTTCGTGGCCCAATAGGGAGCTCGACCGAAGGCCCCAGTGGCAAAGTTCGCATGCGGTTCCACCCCTATTCCGGCGCACCCCTCACACGTTTCGTGGCCCCACAGGGAGCTCCACCGAAGGCCCTAGTGGCAAAGTTCGCATGCGGTTCCACCCATATTGGGGCACACCCTTCACACGGTTCGTGGCCCCATAGGGAGCTCCGCCGAAGGCCCCAGCGGCAGCGCCCGCATGCGGTTCCACCCCCATTCCGGCGCACCCCTCACACGCGTCGTGGCCCCATCGGGAGCTCCACCGAAGGCCTCAGCGGCAGCGCCCGCATGCGGTTCCACCCCGATTTCGATGCACCCTTCAGTGGCCCCACAGGAGGCTCCACCGAAAGCTCCAAGGACAGCGCCCGCATGCAGTTCCACCTACGATTTCCGTGAATCCCTCACACGCGTCGTGGCCCCATAGGGAGCTCCACCGAAGGCCCCAGTGGCAGCGCCCGCATGGCGGTCCCGCCACATTTCGGCACACCCTTCACGCGCTTCGTGGCCCACCGACAGCAATACTCACAACGAGGGTGTTCACAACTGCATATAGTTGGGCCCTTCACTCAGCTAATCTGCAGTTTCGTCGGTTCTCGGCGGCTGCCCGGCCTCGGGGTGCCTTCCAGTCGCCGTGCCTCGCCGAGGGCGCTCCGGGGGGTGCTTGGCTCGTCGCGAACGGCCGTCAGAGGCCCGAGTTATGACCTGGAAACAAAGGATTGCAACAAAAACCCTTCGGTTTGCAAAAAAACCCTTCGAATGATTGCAAAAAACCCTGGTTTGCAATCCTTCGTTTTTTTTGTAATCCTTGTTTTTGTTGCAATCCTGGATGGCTCAGAGTGGGGACAGGGTCCCTTTCGATCCGACTTGCTCGATTCGATATCGCTGTCGGCTGGTTCGACCCGACTCGATTCCGCTGTGCAGTCGTTTCGGTGCGGCCCGATGCCTGCACGGCGCCTTCTGTGCATCCTGGCGCAGCCGATCCGATTCGATTCCGATGACGTGCCGATGCAGCTCTCGATTCCGATTCCGTGCCGCTCCCTTCGATCCGATTCCGACTCCGTGCCGATCCGATGCACGTCTCGATGCGATCCGATTTGCTGAGGTCGATGCTGGCTAATCGTTTCGGGCGTTTTGGTCGGTTCCCAGCGGTTGTCCAGCCTCGGGAGGCCTTCCAGCGGCTGCACCTCGCCGAGGGCGTTCCACGGGTGCTTGGATTGACTCGAACAGCTGCCGGAGGCCCGAATTATGGCCCGAATACCACCAGCTGGAAAGGCTCAGGGGGGAACGCATCGACCCCCCATCGCCCAGTCATCGCCGACAGGGGCCCGATAGCCCACCCCGCCCAGGAACGTGCGGTCTTGGTATCATCGGCGACATGTCGCCGATTCCAGGTCGATGGTTCCCCTCCTAAGCCGGTCCCCCCTAACTTCATCCGCAGTACTTTGGCTGATTTTCCGACGTGACATTGTGGCGAAACTAAATGCACCCCGAACGACATGAACAAGTGGGGCGGACATATCCGCCTCAGAAGGAGTGGGGCGGAGGTTTCCGCAGAGATGTGGCCAGGGCAGGGGCGGCACAGCAGGGCGGACATCGACATGAAAGGAGCTTGAAAAATGGGGCGGACGTTTTTCCGCCCTGCTTGCGAAGTCGCCCAGCGAACGGCGGGGGTGAGGGGGTGATCTGCTTCGACACAATGAAAAACACCCCGCCTACGGCCCTCCATGTTGCGCTACGGCCCATCGGGCGCCACGGCGTATACCACGCAAAAGCCACGCCAGATTTCATTGTGTGCGCTAAGCCCCCTGGGGTCGTAGGTGGGGTCGTGTCGTTTGTTGTCTGGTCCCTTGCTGGTCAGAACTCGGGCATCCGGTGGCAGTTCGGATCGGCCTGGGCACCCAGAGGTCCCTCTCGGCGAGGCGCAGTCGTTGAGGAGCATCCCGAGGTTAGAAACACCTTTTCGGGAGCCACTGGCACGTGCGAGAACCTATCTGAATTTCCGGCCCACGCACGACATCGTCCACAGTATGCCCTCCGAGAATCTGACGTGTTCTGCCGCTCCTCGCGTCGGTCGGTTCCGGGGGTGTGCGGCGGCTCCTGGAGGCTTTCTTCGGAACCTGGAACACATACATTACCAGTGGCGGGCTGTTTTTCAATCCCAGGACTGTTGGAGGGGGACGACGTCGGTGTGGTGTGGTGTACACCGTTTTCCCCGTTTGCCCGGGGAAGCGCTGAAACATGTATGCACCAGGACCCCGTGCACACCAGGATCCACACTCCTGTGCGAACTCCAGTGCGAGGCCGGACAAGGCGTCGGCGTATATATATATATATATACATACATACATACATACATACATAAATACATATATATATATATATATATATATATATATATATATATATGAGGGAGGGGGAGAGAGAGAGAGAGAGAGAGAGCTCGGCTCCTTCCTCTCTCGCCTCGGGGATGCGTTCCAGCGGTTTCGCCTCGGCGGGAGAGCTGCGCGGATGCCCGGGTCGTCGAGAGCGGTTCGTGGAGGCCCGAGCCACGGCCCGCGAGCCAGCGGAGCCCAGGGCTCCGACGGTGTGGCCTCTTGGATCCTGCCCTCGGCCCTCGGGGCCCGATTTCGAGCCCCAGGGCCGTCAGAGACGCGCTACAGGGTGAACAAACAAGAGGGGCAGCAGGAGGAGGAGGAGGAGGAGGAGGAGGAAGAGGAGGAGGAGGAGGAGGAGGAGGAGAGGAGGAGGAAGAGAGGGAGGAGGAGAAGGAGAGGGAGAGGGAGGGGAAGAGGGGATGAGGAGCAGGAGGAGCAGGAGAAGAGGAGAGGAGAGGAGGAGAGGAGGGGAGAGGAGGTGAGGAGGAGGAGGAGGGAGAAGAGGGAGGAGTCGGAGGAGGAGGAGGAGGAGGAGGGAGGAGGAGAAGGAGGGGGAGGAGGAGGAGTTCGCGGAGGGAGCAGGAGTTCGAGGAGGAGGAGAGGCTGAGGAGGAGTTGGAAGAGGAGGAGGAGGAGGAGGAGGAGGAGGATGGAGGAGAGGAGGAGTAAAAGGAGGAGAAGGATGAGGGAGGCGGAGGAGGATGTGGAGGAGGAGGAGGAGGAGGAGGAGGCGGATGGATGACGAGGAGGAGGAGGAGGAGGAGGAGGAGGAGGAGGAGGAGGAGGAGGAGGAGGAGGAGGAGGAGGAGGGATGATGATGATGATGATGATGATGATGATGATGATGATGAT